TGGCTTTGGTCTGGCCCCGCCCTGGTCATTGCAGCCATTTGGGAGAGTGAATCAGCGGGTGGAAGATCTCTCTGTAAATATGCTTTCAAATAAATAAATATTTTAAAAATATTTACTTTATTTATTTGAAAGGATTATAAAGAGGTAGAGATGGAAAGAGAGAAAGCGAGAGAGACAGAGAGAGATGTTTCCATTCACTGGTTCACTCCCTAAAGGCAGGAGCCAGGAGCTTCTTCCAGGTCTCCCACTTCAGTGCAGGGGCTCAAAGATTTGACCCATCTTCCACTGCTTTCCCAGGTGCATTAGCAAGGAGCCGAATTGGAAGTGGAGCAGCAGGGTCCCGAACCAGCACTCACATGGGATGCCAATAGCGGCTTTACCCACTACACCATAATGCTGGCCCCTAGTCCCTACCTCTTAAAGGTTCAGTATCATATTCCAATTCTACTTGTAACATTCTGTAATAATGTTGGAGAAGCTGGAATCTACCCATATTTTTTAAATTATAAAATTGAAATTACTTAGTGAAGATAGAGTTAAAATTCATAATGACAATGAAAAACCAAAAAACCAAACAGGTAATAAATGTCTGTCAAGGTGAACCAAGTATTTTTTTTATTCTTTTACCAAAAGTCTCTTGAAATTATGGAATAGAAGAATGGTAGAACTATAAACTACTATGAAAGAATAGAATAGTATGAAAATGAAATGGCATATTTGAAAAATAAAAGGAAATTCTACTGGAAGTTCTTTAATTAGAACATCTACCAAAATATCACCAATGGAATTTAAGTCTCAATGAATAAGGGAAAGAGTTGATGGGTTAAGTTTAAAGAATGTCTGTACTGCAAGGTCTAAAGAAATCAGACTGTAGTTAACAGAGAAAGCCATGAAAAATACAAAAGAATAGTTAAGAGACTCTGGATGGAATAGGGATCAACATGTATGAGTTTCAGGGGAAGAAGGAGAAGGAAGGAGGAGGGGAGGAAGAGGAGGAAAAGAAAGAGAAAGAAGAAAACAGAATGAAGGACAATTTTTGAAAAGAGGATGGGTAAGAATTTTCCAAAATTTAAAACAATAACAACAGGAAACAAACAAACAAACAAACAACGTTGAGTCTTTAAACTGAGGAAGCAAACCAAGTCCTGAGCGAGATACATATATTCTCAAGTCACAGGGACTCACTGTAGCAAAACTGTTGAGAATCAAAGATAAAGAAATATTAAAAGGAACCAAAGAAGAAAAGATAAAACAGCTATTTATCTTATGACCAGTTCACGGGTAGTTCATGTGTCAACATACCTAACTTCTGACTGTTAATTGTCGCATAAAACTGGGAAAAATTACTTAGCTTCACTGAGTCTAACATTCCTCTTTGCTGTATTAAGAAGATGGAGTGAAAGAATTCCATAAAATATGAACTCACATATAAATGTAAAATTGTATTCCAAGATGCAAACTTTTGGGGGCAGGTGTTAGAAGAAACTGTCTCCCACTTGTCTGCGCACACACACGCCCTTCTGCATCTCGTGCTCAGAGTCTCCATTCTATTCAGGTGAGCAACACGTCAGGATTAAGTCTCACTCCATCAGCTCTTCCTGCAGCCAAGGATGGCCATGTCCTTCAGATGTGGGAAGTGAAGAATAATGGGCAGTTTGCTATTTAGTACTTATTGGCATGCCTCTGCTTTCTGATTAAAGGGACAGATTTCACTGATACTGCCTCTTTTCCCTTGCTTTGTGTCCTGAGCACAGGCAGAATTGACTCTAGGCTCCCTGGAAGCTATTTTGTAAGCACACAGGAAGGACCAAGTTGCTGAACAAACATTAGCAGCCACCTCTCCCTGGACTGTTTTTCTCTGATGAGAAAGATGTAAATGTTGAAGCCATTATTAGTTGGGTGGCAAAAGCATTCCTGATTCTGGAAGAGAAGGAGAATTGAGGTGTATTTTTGCTTGCAATTTAAGTTTGAAGAAGGCTTTATAAAGCAAAAAAATGAAGAAGAAACCATGTTCAAACTTCATTGAAAACCTGGAGCAATGCCTGGCAATGTAAGTGTTCAGTAAATATTTTTCAAATAAATATAGATGGATATATGAATCTTATAGGAATGTTGTAGACAGAAATTGACAAATAGCAAACCCTTAAAAAATTCCATCTACTGACAATTTAGATCCAGGGCTAGTAACGGTCATTGCTTGCCTGATTTCTACATAATCAGAGGAGAATCTCAGGGTTACATTGTTGCCTGAAAAGATAACCAAGTGAGCTTAGCTGCATAGCAGTTCCTTAGAGGTAAACCTGAGGAGATAACAGTAACATTCAGCTCCAGTCTCTCAATAGGCTGATCTTGTAGATGTATTTGTATGGATGATGGAAAAACTTACTTGAAAGTGATCACAACCATTGTGGGGGAATTCCTGACCAAGTCATCCTGGCATAGCTGGCAAATGCTTGGCCCACTGAAGATAAATGTTCTAACATTTCAGTTTCTAGAGAAGATGAGTAGATGGTTTCAACAATTTCTTTTTCTGCCAATATTTTGCAACATCAGCCAAAACAAATCAGAGACATTAGTGATCATAAAATTTAAATATACATTTAATAATGATTGCCTGACTTCAATTTTGTTGGAAGAGTGCTACAATTAAAGTGACAGAAATGTATATCTTCATCTTCCTCTTTCTCTATGCTGTCCCTAAAACAAAAATTTTCCTGGAAATTTCTATGGAAAGTTCTAGACTTCTATGGGGTGTTTATTTCTGCTCTTAATAATGGTCATAAATAATATCCAAATATTAGAGATTGTAGACCTACAAATAGCTGAAAAGTTCTTTTGGTTCCTGGATTTGCACACTTTGTCCTTGGCCTTTGTCAAATATGAGATTATGAGACAGACTAGATGTGATAAGAATTAAGGGGAGGAAAAGGTCTTGGTTACTGGCAGAATTATGGCCTGAGGGAGCCATAAATGGAATAAAAAGGCTTTCTCAACTACAAGAAAGAATTCCAGCCTTTCCATCCAGTGCGGCAACCCTCTTGGGTGGGCTGGTTTTGTGAGTCAGCGAGACCCAAGTATCTGTCCAGAGATTACAAATAAACTAAATGCATTTTTGGGTCAGAAATGTCTTACCTGATCTGACCTTTCTCATTCGCATTAGCCTTGTTTTTCTCTTAGATCAGCAATACACTTGCCACTAACTTTAATAGTCTAACTATTGATTCTTTTCATTAGGAATTTTCAAGTTGAATTCATTTATAATCTTCTCTCTTTAAAAAGACAAGAAGTGTTTCATTTAATAGAACACACACACAATGTATTAGTGTGTATTTGCTCCATACAGTTTTGGTACAAGTTGTACATTAATTCAACCAATAGTCACTGAGTATCTGTTATGCTCCAAGTATCTTGGGGTTTATAAAGCCGAATGAAATGTGGTCCTTGTTCATTGAATCTTGGTGTTTTACCTTTCCAGGTGTACTTGCTTTTTAACAAGAGGTCGATAACCCTAGCTGTGTATCATCAGTACCTGGGGAGCTTGTTAAACATACACCTGCCCAGGTTTCAGCTCTTAGAAAGATTCTGATAAGAGGCAGAACCCAAGGTGTGTGTGGCTTTCACAAAAAAACTCCCCAGGTAAATCTGGTGCACGACCAGGACTAAGAAGCACCATTTTACACTAAGAAGGGACCAACTACAGGAACACAGCCACGAGGCAAACGGGGTGGGGGTGGGGTGCCTTTGAAATGTACAGCATGAGCAGTGAGCTAAAGTCGCTTCTAAGGCTGTTTCTCTCTACCTCCAAGGTTTTGGAATGGATAGTTACCGTCTGAAACACAACCCGGATGGCAGAGTCAAGCCCAGCCTTTTAGCACAACAAGCAAAACTGCGGCATAGGACTAAGAACTGCAGCCTAAGCTCATCCCCAAAGCACCCCCCCGCCCAACACGCTGTCATCATGTCCAACTCACACGAAACACGGTCATTTGTGAACATTTTTTGATTGGAAAGTAATTCAGGCCAGAGGCAACCCCTCCACCCACCCCCCCATTTTTTTTTTTTTTTTCTCTAACCAAAGGAACACAGTAACTCAGGAGTGGAAGGTATTTGGCAGGTGCTTGTTTGGAAGTGAATTGAATCCAACTCTTAGAGCGTGACCATACACCAGTATGCTATATTTACACAAGGTTTCAGGTACATCAAAGAACACATACCACGTACATGGAAGAAGGAACAAGGCAAGCAGCCCCGGGCCCACCCCCTCCCAGCTTGTGAATAGGACACTGGCGGTACTTCAGGGGCCAGAACCCATACAGTGATTCACTGACCAGCTTCCTTCATTCATTCATTTGTGAAACGCGCCTAGGACTCAGAGGCCAGGCAGAGGAGGCAGTTCCTTCCGTCGGTGGGCTGAAAGGAATCTAAGGCTGGGCTCTCGTGCGCGCACCTTGCCCTGGCGGCTGGCGGTCCAGCTCCGCGGGCCTTCCCGGGCGGGCGTGGCTTCTGCGCGCGGACACTGGCGGCAGGAACTACGCGTCCCGGCAGTCCGCGGGGCGGTGGGCGGAGCGGGGCCGGGGGCGGGGGCCGCGAGGGGGCATTGTGTCGGCGAGCGCCGAGCTGCGTTTGTCTGCTCCAGGTGCTCGCCGAGCGAGCGCTGCGGACGCCGGTCCGGGGCTGCGAGTGTCAGCGGCGGCGGCGGCGGCCCCGGCGGGAGGCGGAGGAACGGCACCGCGCGCCTGCTGGTCGCGATCGCTGGCAGGGGCCGGTGTGCCGGGGGCGCACCATGCAGAGGGGCGCTCGGCGCCCTGACGACCCCTCGCGAGGAAGAGAGGCCGGGGCCGCGTTGGGGCGGCGGAGAGCATGAGGGAGGCCGGCGGGCTGCTGAGCTCCGGGCGCTGCTAGGGAGCGGCGTGCGCTGCACACTCGCCGGGGCGCGGCGGAGGGCGGGGAGCGGATCGCCGGGAGCTGTTCTGATTTCCGACGCGCACGCGAGGGGCCGGTAGCGACCCCGGCCCCCGCGCCGGCCGACATGGGCAACGCGGGGAGCATGGATTCGCAGCAGACCGATTTCAGGGCGCACAACGTGCCTTTGAAGCTGCCGATGCCCGAGCCAGGGGAACTGGAGGAGCGATTTGCCATCGTGCTGGTGAGTGTGAGGCGGCCGGGCGTGGGGCCCCGACCTGCGGCGCGGCGGACCCCCGGCCCCTCCCCTTCTGCGCCCCGCGCGACCTCCTGTCCCCTGGGGAGGCGCCCACCCTCCCCATTGTGGCCGCCCTCACCTCGCCTCTCCTCTTTTCCCCCGAAGTCCCCCGCGCCCAGCCAGCCTCCAGGTCCTGGGATGGGGGCCCCGGGCTGACTGCCCCGCCGGCCCCGAACCCATTGTCTGGCGGGAGAGGCACCTCGCGGCGCGTGTGCCCGGGAGGTGCGGCGTGGGCGTGAAGGGAAGGTGGCGTGGGCCGGGTGGAGGCGGCTGCAAGCCGCTAAGGTTTTTTTGTTTGTTTAAAAAAGAAAAAAAAATCGCGAGCCCCTTTCCTCAGGCGCCCAGCCCAGGGCCTTCAGGGTCCCAGGCAGATGGGCGCAGGTGGCCGGCCGAAGACGCCGCGCGGGGCGGGGAGCGGACGCGAACTTGGAGGGCGGATGTCGCGGCTTGGGCGAGGGGGAGCTTCCCCAAAAGAGAGAGAGGAGACCGGCAGCTGTTGGCTGCCCTGGTCCCTCAGCGAGGAGGGGGCTCCGAAACCCAGGCGGGAGAGAAGGGCCCTGGGCGGGGCAGAACCTCAGCGTCTTCTCCTTGGTCTTAAATCTTAAACCACAAAAATGTGCAGTTTTGCGGGTACGTGTTGCGAGCTGTCCTGACTGCTCGGGCGACCCCTCCCCCTGCACACCCAGACAAATCCCCCGCTGCCTCCCGCGGTCCCTCTCCCTCAGCACCTCGCATCCTACGCTCTGAAGACCTCTGTCTTTGCCCCTTTCCTGCTGGGACTGTTTGTGGGCCCCTCCCAGCCCGAGCCTGGCGAGCTGCAGAGGGTGTGGCGCTTCGCCCTTGTCCCAGCCAGGGGCTGTACTGCGTTTGGTCCCAAGAATTCTAGTTCCAGTGTCCCAATCTCTTAAGGGAGGTTGGGAGGGCAGCGGGCAAGATGGGTCCCATTCCTATTCCTCAAACTCGGACATCTCTCTCTGCCTGGCTGGTTATCCTTACAACCCGCCCGGAGAGAGAGAGAGAGAAACTTGGGATGGAGGCAGTCGGCGATTGTGATTGTGATTGCCTGCGGGGCTTTTTGGCTTGTACCCTAACTACTTTGGGAAAGGACTGGAGTGCTAGGTCAGAAATCGGTCGTCCGAGGTCTGAACTCTGAGCGTTTGGATGGCCTTGGAAAGGGACTGGTCTGCTCTGGGCGTACTATTCTGGAGGGCAGGTTAGCTTTGTGCTCTTGGGGAGAATGGAGGCCACCTGGAAATTGTGCGGCTGTCGGGGAGACAGAGGAGGTTGCCTGTCTTGCTTTGCATTTTCTGTGATCTCCCCCAGCTGCTCACCCTGTGCAAGATGGGACACTCTGAAATGAAACAGCTTAGGCTTAATTGCTTCTCAAGGCAGCCTGGGTGCATACTTGACCGGTTTTTGCAAAGACAAACGTTTCTCTTCAAAATGCTCCTCGTACCAGACCTATGGCTCTGGGTTTTCTGTTTTCCCGTCCATGTGTGTTGTCTGTGTCTGAATATTTGTGGTGGAGGAGCCAGGGACCCAGGGAAACCAGTGCAGCAGCCATAATAATAACAATAATGCAATTAAGTTCTGCTCAACTGGGATAGCAGTTTTTTTTGCATGAGCGTTCAGTTACCCTGCTGATTAATAACACATGGGATGGATGAATCTTCAGAAAAATAATGTCTCCTCATTAACATGGTGGGTTTGTGTTGCTATGAAGTCTGGCAGTCGCTAATTTAGGATGTAGACGTTTATGGTTGAACATCACAGGCTCCTTGGGGGCGTTGGTTGTTGTGGCTACTTTTACTCTCCTGTGTGTCACACACAGTTACTGGATTCAGTTCTTTGTAAGATTGTTTACAACAGTCTAAGCATCTCCAACAAAAAAGCAAAAACAAAAGACACACAGACTTTTCCTGAAGAGATAAAGCTTTTGGGCAAGTCTCAGCTCCAGGACCTTCTTGTTAAGATGCCCTTGGACCACTAAAGTGGGGTTTACTTTTTGAGTCAGCTCCAGTAGCTCTTGGGAAATCACTGGGAAGAGTTAGAAGGACTCCCTCCTGAATATCACCACCGGCTGATAGAGGTCCCAAGTGTCCGGGATTTATTTTGTGGTCAGTCAATTCTTTTTTGAAGTTGTGTAAGTGATTCTCTTAACTTTGATTTTCTTCTGCCTAAGAAATCAGTTCACCCATTCAATTCTGGACATTAAGCTGGCATGCCAGACGGTTTTAGGTGGCAGAGGTCTGAGTACTTAATGCAGAAGAATACCATTCAATAGTGGGAACTGAGTTGTCCTTGCTTCCAATTTTATTTTCTTACATAGTAAAGATCCTGTATGTGTTTTTGGAAGGAGAACTAGATAGTAATACTGTGCAGAAAAGTGTACAAGCAACTCATTGTAAGTATGGCATACATCAATAATTAACGAGCTGTTTCAGGCTAGGAAAACAGTTCCTTCTAGGCTCCAGCATATTTAAAGCCCTGGGGAAGGGGTAAACAAAATGAAGGAAGTCCACCTTATTGCTTGTTAGGAAAGCCTTAGGACAGAGCAAAACTCTGAGTGGCTGTTCCCCTTCCTGCCCCCTTCACCAGTTTCTATGGGTTAAATTGTACAAGTCTATGAAATGAGTGAGTATGCATTGGAAAGGACAGAGTAGGAGACTATTGGGTAATATCATTGGAGGGATAACTTTTAAAGGGAATAGTTTTTGTTCTTAAATAGAAGAAAATGAATTACTGGACTTGCCACCTGCACCCATCTGCCCGGGACCCTGAAGTAATGAGTGCAGTAAGTACTATTGGCTCCAAATCGTAGGGGTTTACTTCTCCTAAGGAGAGTCTCTCCTCCTTTGCATCTGTTTTGAGCATTATTGTACGAATTATTACAAAACTTAGATTTAAGGGCAAAGATGATTGACTTAATGTATACATGTATAGTTTTCACTTTTGTATCTGCCTTTGTGTGTACATTGGTGGGATTTGACACTCAGTGGAAGTGTTTCTCGTAAATTAAAAATTCAGTCATCTACGTGAATCTTGCTGCTTTTAGGGTATACATTTGACACAGGTATATCATTAGCCTGTTTTTTTGGGCTCTATGATTCATGATTAAATTTGTGGTTCTCCACTGTGTTTCTTAAACATTGTCTAATTCTGGGGGTTACACACACGAATAGTCCTTTGCTTTATTTTCAAAGATGATGCTGTGAAGTGATTCTTGGAAGGTACTGAGCACAGCTGATGTTCTTTGTCCAAGAATCCTCCTTTTCTGAGTACATACCCCATAATATTCACTAGTCATTTTCTAGCTGCCGCTGCTGACAACTTAAAATATAAGTCTTCAGATGCCTCTGTTGAGGAGCTGTCCTCAGAATTCTTTCTTTGATCTTCAGAAAAAAGGATAAATTTAAGTCTTCTGTCTTAGCTGCTGTATCTCTGGGATATCAGGTATTAGGCAGCACAGCAAACAGATTAAAAAAAGACAGATTAGGAAGTAATGGTTTAGGGCAGTATTATCCTAGGTTTGATATCAGGAATTGCTTTTGGTATCTGGTGAATTTGAGTCAATTTCCTTTTCATCCCTTTCCAGGTTGAACATAGTCATTTTAAGGAGTGGGACATTGCAGAGTACTTACTCTGAGTAGGCCGGGTACTTAGAGATTCTCACCTAATCCTCACAGTAGCTAGAGCCATCAGCAACATTAGGGATGTGTAAATGATTAGCTAAAGTGTCTGAAGTCATACAGTTATTAAATAACCAATCTGGGATTTCCACCAGATTTGGATCTCTGTTCCACACTTTACTGGGCCCCAGCATTGCATTATGCTTCTTTAGGCCTGGAATTATGAAGGGGGTTAAAAAAAAAAAAGGCTCTTAACTACCAGTAAAAACAAAAAAAACAAAACAAAACAAAACAAAAAAACAAGCCTATTAATTCTGATAAATGCAAGTTTTAAACTATATCAAATTGGCAGAAATTTCTCAGAAGTCACCAAAGTGGGGTGCATTGGTATTTGCCTTTAGGTGTCAAATTTTCTGGCATCTGCACTGTGCTCTTCCCTTTTTTGGCATGGAGTGAACAACGGATTTGGTCCATAAGTCTTGTCTATAGCTTTTCCTTTCCAGGCAGACTCTCCCTAGGTTGGAAAATTTAGATTTTCTAAACCAGAGGGAAGACACAACCTATCATTGCAATGCTTGCACTCCAAATGTAATTACCTATGAAAGGGACAAGGAAGGTCAAGTTTTAACACTGAAGTGGATTGCCACTGCAAGGTGGTATTCCCTTTCAGCCTCTTCCAAGGAGAGCACCTGCCGTGAAGTCTGTTGAACAGATGGATGAGTGGGAGTAGAGTGAAGCCATCAGATGCTGCTGATTTGTTTTCTCAGATCCTTTCTCCTGTTGTGAAGGAAAGAGAGTGTGGAAAGGGGGCGGAGTGTTGTCACTTTGAACCATTGCAGTTTCACCCTAGGCAGTAACTCCCTGTGTTTTCCTCCAAAGTGGGAATAGATGCTTAGGGCTGTGCATATCATCATTATCAGCGTGCACTTCCCCTCCTCATAATGCCAATAAAAACTGTGAAAATAGATCTCAGTGTCTAGGATAGAAGATGATCAAAAGGTATTCACTGAATACAATTATTTGGCTCCATTGGGAACCTGGAAGCTGTATTAACTGGTGAAATCTGGGAAGTTTGCTCACTGTTAAATCCTTAAGGGTTAAGAATAACTTTTGCTTGTGTCCTATCATTTGGAAAAGAGAATTGGCCTGAGGGTCAGGAGAACTGGATTTAAGGATCTTCATCAGCTGCACCAGCTTGGGCAAGTTAAAATCTTTGCCTGATCCTTGTAAATAGAAATAAAATTTGGCATAACTGTTGGGATGTTGTGAGGATGATGGAAATTATGGTAGTTGAAAGTGTAACATTTGCAGAACATA